GGCAGAGAGGACAGATGGGGCCAATTAAGTAGCTGGGCAGCCCAATGATGGATGAGTCATTATGGGCAAGTGCAAAGATAATGCCATTGGGAAAAGCAATTTAAGTCATTCATGCACTTCCAGGCCAGGAAATCCTTCTAGTCTGTGAGGGGGATCATTTAGGAATCATCAGACTCAGACTGATGAACTCATCTATTCATTGTGCAACTAACAATCAACAGAAGAGCTGAACACACAGGGGACAAGCCATATGGAATACATTTTGGTAGCTGGGATGTATATCTGTGCCTTCATTTGAATCACCTTCTTTACTTTTGTTTGTTTGTTTTTAATTTTATTGGAGTATAGTTGATTTACAATGTTGTGCTAGTTTCAGGTGTACAGCAAAGTGATTCAGTTATACATATATTCATTCTTTTTAGATTTTGTTCTCATATAGGTTATCACAGAATATTGAGTAGAGTTTCCTGTGCTATCCAGTAGGTCCTTGTTGGTTATTTTGCTTATATATAGTGGTGTGTGCATGTTCATCCCAAGCTCCTGGCTTATTCTTCCCCCCCCCCCACATTTCCTCTTTGGTAACCATAAGTCTGTTTTCAATATCTGTAAGTCTGTTTCTGTTTTGTAAATACATTCATTTGTATCTGAATCGCCTTCTTTAAAACAGGTCATACTCTAGCCCCTCTTCTGTTTTTTTTTTTTTTTTTTTTTTTAATTGGAGTATAATTGCTTTGCAATGCTGTGTTAGTTTCTGCCGCACAGCGAAGTGAATCAGCCTTATGCATACACACATCCCCACTTTTCTTTTCCTTCTCCGGTCCCCAATCTCTCCCTACTCCTTATGTTCTCATCTTCCTAAACACACACAGTTTCAAAGTGTATGGATGATAGTTTTATTTTTAAGTAATGACAAATATTTTCCTTCCTCACTGCTAGTTCTGTCCTTCACATAGGTTGCTCTCTGTACACATACAAGTTTCCAAGGGACACTTCAGCATGTTACAAAACTGTTCTTTTTTTTTTTTTTTTTAAGCACAAAAGAGGCTTGTGTCTATGCAACAAACTTTATGCAAATGGGAGGTTGGGGGGTGGGATGAACTGGGAGACTTGGATTGACATATATTCACTAATATGTATAAAATAGATAACTAACAAGAACATGCTGTATAGCACAGGGAACTCTATTTCACTTTGCTGTACAGTAGAAAGTAACACAACATTGTAAAACAACTCTACCTCAATTAAAAAAAAAATTTACGCAAATGGTCTACACTTCTCCAAATCCTTTACTTGTATTCATGTTGCAAATCTGGAATTTTAGGGGAGAGGACTTATCTTATTTTTAAGGAGGTGGGTAGGAAACTAAAAGCCCATATGAATTAAAGTAAACCATACTTGCAACTACCTGTTTCTTTAAAACGAAAGTCCTAATCAGGAGACCCCAGAAAAAGGTTATCCATGACTGCCATGTTGATAACTCTAATGAACGCTAGTTCTTCTCCTGACTTACCTTCTCCCTCTCTGATTTCTCCTGTTTGTCCCCCTTTTAAGCTCATCCTCTCTTACCAACCATTCAGTGTTGGATTCTCTAAACACTGTATTCCTGGTTTTTTTAGACAGTTGACTCATTGTTCCATTCTTGTCTTGCCCTACACTCAACCACATCTTGCTGGTTCCCAGCCACCCTGTTTTCTACAAACTACAGTAGCATTGCATCTGTTTCCTGTGCCAGGAATTCTCTCCTCTGGTTCTTTATCTTGTTAACATTTGTCCATCCTTCAGATCTCAGCTCACTCATCATATATTGACTTCCTCACACTTGGTCCAATCTCTCTACCAGGGACTCTCATAACACCACATAGCATTCTTTACCACACTCATCAGAGTTGCAACTTTATATTCATTTGTGTGATTTATTTGATTAATGTCTGTCTCCCCCATTAGCCTATAATCTCTTCCCTGTTTCTGTTTCTTCTCTTCCTGTTGCTATTGATCAACGTTGCACTGCCCACTTCTCTTCTTCACGGGCTACCATAGCTTCTACTGACCAATGGCTTCCTCTATCTCATAGATTCTGATAATATGCTTTTCTCTCAGTGCCCCTCAATTTCTAGTCTTCCTCCAATTGTTGGTTGTCTCTAAATTTTTTTACATTCACACTCTACCAGCAAAACAATCTTATTGGTTTGATTCATATGTACAATCTCTTCGGCAAACTTCTCATGACAGACCAACTCATGGCTCCCTGGGCAACACTCAAATGGACTTCCCTAGGGTCAAGCATGTCCTGCATCCATGGGCTGTAGCCAACATAGTGGACAGGTCAGCTTTCCTGAGAGAGTACAATAAATCAGATACTTTCTCCATCACAGTCTGCTTGCTGAGAACTGGCAGAGCTGGGGAGGGATATTCCTGGAGAACCAGGATTGGGGAAAGAGTAAAGAGTAGAAACAGAAAACAAGCAGGGACAATTGAGGCATTCAACAACCTCCTCTTTGGTTGGTGTTCTACTCAATGAAACCACCATTCCTTGGCATACATTGCTAACAATTTTAAGATGTCACAGGAGTCAAGTCCATTTATATCTGATGAGCAAAGTAAAACTCTCAACGGAAGATCTGAAGTATTTGGGGAGTGATAGAACCCAGTGAAAAATGTCAGATGATTAGATTTTAAAAGTACCTTGGAATGGTAAAGGCCTGTCTACTTCTGGTTCATAGTTACTCTTTGGGAGCAGCCCTTCAGGCCCCAAAGTGAAGGGGTTCACCAGTCCTCCCTTGTGGCAGGTCCTGGACTCTAGTCTTTGGTGCTGTACCCCACACCCTTACAACATGAGGCTGCCAAAATCTTGTTCAGCCCTCAATCTCTCAACTGGCTCTACTAGAAAAAATTGGTATAACAATGATCATAACAGCTGTTAGAAATGAGTTTTACTGAGCTTGAGGAGAAGAGATGGCCACCATCCTTTATCTGGGTGGACATCATCAATTGCTTCTCTTGGACAGAGCAACATAATATAGGGTTAACAGCACAGATTTCAGAACCAACTGCCTGGGTTCAAATTCTGGCCCTGCTACCTACCAACTATGTGAACTTGGGTAAGTTACTTGTCTCCTCCTCATGTATGACATGAGATTATAGCATCTACCTCAATATAGTTGTTGTGAGAACTAAATAAATCATTAAATGCCAAGTGCTTATAACAAAGTTTACATTACATATCTGTGAGCTACAATAATTATTGCTGTTGATATTACTATCGTCCTTAAGAAGTCACCTCATCCAATTATTGGCCACCTGTATTACTCAGGACATATCAGCTCATATTCTACTGACATATCAGTAGAAATTCAGCTCAACGTGCTTCAGTAAGAAAAAGAAATGTAATGGTTCACACAGCAGGGAAAGTCCAAAGGATGGACTCACTTAGGCACCGCTAGACCCAAGAGTTCCAATGATGCCATCAAGACTCTTGCTGTCTTGTGCCTTGGCTTTCTTCTGAATCAGCATCATTCTCAAGCACGTTTCCTCCATGGTGGCAAGGATGTAGCTTGAAGATGACCTTGTTTTTACACTTCTTCCTCAGTGGATTTGAAAGATTGGTAGGCCCTGGTTGTGTTCCATCAATGAGCCAATTATCAGGGGGGTGGAGTATTCCAATAGGCCAGGCCTGGGTCACACAATATCCCTGTAGCCAAGAGGAAAGGTGGAGCCAACTCTACCTGAACATCATGGTCCCCTGGAGGAAGGATGCTGAGCAGGAGATACCGACTGCTCAACCCTTTGTCAAGGCACGGTCTGGGGCCATGTCTCCAAGAAGAAACTAGAAGACTGTGATGACATGTTTATTGAAATTTTTATCCATTTTCCATCTAAAGAGTTACAAACACACTCAGGAGTGATATTCAAAATATTGAATAACTGGTAGAGTAAGAGTTGATCAGTTTGAATGGATGCCTGACCAATCAGAATGGAGGTCAGCTGTATCAGCAAATTCCTGCTGAATGGCAACGCTGCATCAAATGCAAACATTGGACTGATTTCTCAGGGACTTAAATATCCAATCCTATTCAATCTTCCTTATTAAGCAAACACTCTCTAGCTTTGGCTAGTTTATTCACTTACCTGATTAGAGGCAGAACTGAGTAGACAGATATCTCCAGAACTCTTTCTACTCTTCAGTTCCCTTTGGTCATCTCATAATGTGTGTGACCTTCCCACTGGGATACGCACTTAAGACAGAAGATAAGCTTTTGAGCTGAAGTACCGATAACCTTGAAATGGGCACATGTACCTTGCTTGACCTTCTGTTGGGGGCCAACCCTGTCATTTTTTCTGTCTGGAGAAAGCAGAGGGCCCCCTCTTCCCTTTCCTCTATTACTCTATCACCACTGAATGCCTCACAAAATAGTCCCAGTCTCCAATGGATCTATCTGTCCAAGGATATGCTACCCCTTCAAATTCAGATTGGATGAAGTGTTCTTTGATTAGAGACCTAGATGAAGGGTTACTTAAAGGGCCAGCTCAGCTTGGCTAAAAGGCCACAACCAACAACTGGTATGGGGTGGAGTGTGTGTGTGTGTGTGTGTGTGTGTGTATGTGTGACTTCTTGTCACACTCTCTTCCCCTGAACTAATGTGCCTATAGTACTTAGCAGAATCCACACACAATAGGTGTCTAGTAAATGATAGTTCATCTCCTTCCTTCTTGCTAGACACCCTTCCTGTTTTCCTACTGCCATGCAGCCTAGCCTGGCTTTGGTTGCCAGCAGTACCCAGCAGCATCATTCCCCCGGATCCTGCCTTCTAGGCTCAGGGCAGATCCCAGGCATCAGTGCCCACACCTGCTCACCAGGAGATATTTCCCTACCCTACTTTGATCCCCTTCCAACTCTTAATGCAGGACTGCAGAAAGACTTAGGAACACTTGCCAAGACAGTCTGACCTTTGCTTCCCTCTTCCGGGTGGGAATTGATGGATTTCATGCCTGTTTCCTTTCAGGGTTGCAGAGAGTACAGCAACTTGCAGAAAACACAAGATACTTCAGACAGAGACTGAGTGAAATGGGATTCATTATCTATGGCAATGAGGAATCTCCCGTTGTTCCCCTGCTCCTTTACATGCCTGCTAAAGTAGCGTGAGTATCCAGCAGACTCCCAGAATAACACCTAAGCTCCAAGGTGATCTGACAGAGATGGTGCTTTTGACACCACAGGGCTCTTTCAGCATAGGTATTGCTTTGCACTTTGAGCGGGACGCTGAGTTCAGAATTCACTTGTCCAGCTTCTCAGAAGCTACCTGCCTGCCCATCAGCAAGACCTTTTCACAGATCTTGTGGGAAGGGAGCCAGGTACTGCGGCCCATCATTTCCAAGCTCTGTGAATTGGGTGGAGTCACTTATCTCAGGCCTCAGCTGTAAATTGATGATGATCCTGCACTTCCTCCTGCCCCCAAGATCTTTCTCAGGGAGAACCTCAAAACACCATCTCTCCCAACATTCAAAAGCAACATTACCAGGCTCTGTGCTTTCTCCCATTGCACTCTCATGGCCATCCTCAAAAGAAGGCACCCTCATGTGTGGGGAAACTGAGGCTGAGAGCAGTTAAATAGCTTCCCAAAGCCATACCGGTCAAGCAGTAGTAAAACCAAGAGGCAAACCCAAACCTAGGCTTACTCCAAAGCTCTTGCTCTTAACAAAAAATGTTAACACCACTCCTGTAAGCTTATTTGGGGTTGTTTTCCATCGATTGCAACTCTGAGGTTGAGCATTAGTAAAAACTGCATAAAGAGGAAAAATGACTTTTCTCAGTATGGCACAGATGAATTTATACGTGAGCCATCTCCAATCTGCTAGAGAATAATTAACTCTGTTGTTAAAAGGAAGTTAATTAAACTCTTTTCTAGTATAAAATGTTTGTGTGTCTGATGAAGCACATGGTAGAAAGTAAGTCTCAACAAATGTTTATCAGATTCTAGACATCCTGACACTCCTTTAACACAACCTCATTGTTGGAACTTTCCGTTTGATTCTCTTAACAGTCGAAGTAGATTGGCAGAGTATTAGACGTAGTATAGAAAAGAAGTTCTGGAGCTATTAGTTGAAAACTCATGATGGATAGGACTGAGTTATATGTTCCTAAAAGATGGATTTTTTGGAGTACACTTTTGGGTCATTTCACCACAGCAAAATAATAAGCAGTTAAAACACACACATGAGTTGCCCCATGCACCACAGCCGTCCACCACTCAGCCCTTTGTTCATAGACCTGGATCAGGAAATCAATGCCTGGAGTAGCCAAGAAGACAGTGTGCTTCAGAAATGTCATAGGATACTGCTCTGTGCTAATGGCAGGAAGGAGTGACAATGGTGATTCCAACTGGCAGATAACCCCAAACCCTTTACCATCTGATCTTGGATGACAGGAAAGAAAACCCACGTTTACTCAGAGTGGTTGGGGAAACGGTATGTTCTGACCCTACATGTAGTCCATGCCTATCTAATATTTTATGATTAGCTCAAATGAAGACACCAAAAGTAAACTTGTTTCATTTTAGAGAGTGTCAACACCAGAGGGTGGCGGTAGGGAGTGTGCTGGATACTTCTGACTTTGATGATAGAAGCTGGAATTAGAACCTCAACAGGCTGGGAACATGAATCCATCCAATGAGAAGAGTCCATGAAGAATAAAAACAAATGCATTTCAATGCAAGAATTCAAGTGCACGATGACAGAACAAAAGAGAGAGTTCCCCTCCTCCTTTATATGCCAGGAGTCCTAACTAGACAAAGCTAATGTGAAAAAGGAAAATTAAACTGAGAGGGAGTTTCCTGGAAAACTTATGTTCTAAGGTATAATGAGATGTTTGGAATGAAAAAGAAATTTGACTCTGCCTCTTCCTAGCTGGGGGATCTAGGACAAGTTAACCAACCTTCTGAAGCCCCACTTTTCTCATATTGAAAATGGGATAGAATAGGACCTATTTCCTAAGATCATTTGAAGATTAAACAAGATGAAGTCTATCAGCATTTGGCATGTCATGCCTTAACATAGGAGCTACTCAGTGTTGGCTGTTATTATTAATAGTATTAATAATGTATATAAAGCACTTCAAATAGTAATTGACTAAGCGCTCAATCAGTGGCAGACATCATTATTACTACTACAGCTACAGTGACGATAATTGTTCGTTTCAACAGAGTATAAGATTGAGTCATCGTGGTTGCATGGCTAAGGAGGCGCTAACATTGCTGGATGTTACTTATATGCTAAGGAAGGCTCTTAAACCCAGTTGTCACCCATTGAAGGTGGGATGCTTAGCCCTGGTTTACAAATGAAGACACCTAGACACCCCAAAGTCAACCTAGTTTCTCAGGGTCACTCACATTGTAGGTACTAGAGGCCAGAATTCAAACCAGTTGCATTTGCCTCCTAAACCAGTGCTCTCTTCAACGCACAACACAGCCCATAGGGGAAAAATACACATCTCTTTAAAGCAATGCAGAGTATAATTTAACCCTCTTTAATGTCATCACTGGTGAATCAAAAGGCATCCATTATGACAATGGGAAAAAAAATCTAATTATTTGAGTTGTTAAGAAAACATAGAACAGGTTAGTTACAAAAGGTAATATTATCTAATGTTGGCAGGAGTTACTGCTGCCCAATCTTGTTTCCTGCACTGATATTTCTTCAATGGAAAGTTGAAGGCAGAGAACCTTTTGAAACGGAGTTAATTGGCTAAGCCAGTGTATGAGCACTTGTTTCAATTTGCTCATTTAAAAACTTTTGATTTTTCTCAAAGAACTGTGATTACTCCATATTTCCACCTACTACAGAATGGAGACATTATCTCCAGCCAGGTATCCTTTTGGATAAAGTCCTGTTTGCAATTCTACCACTGGAATCTTCTATGGAGTTTAGTATAATGCGATTTCACCATAAAACATTCACTTAAATAATCAAGAATATATTGTATTTACTATTTGGTACAGGGTTGACATTTTCCATCCTCAGGCTTCATCACACACTCGGAGGATGGTGGTGCAGAAGATGCAGTGATGCTGCGTGCAATGCAACGCTAATGTTGTACTATTATTATTCTTATTCACATAGTTTAGCTTCTTTCAGCCTATGCCAGCTCTAATTTGCTTTGGGGAATACAAACCCAGAGGCAATCACATACATTAGCTGAAGGAGGCTAGGTTTAGTAGTGTAAGTTTTAAACTTAGAACTGCTCCGGGGAGGCCTCGGGTTAGCCTAATGAATCAACAGTCATATATTTCACTCCACATTCTTTGGCAAAACTTACTTCCTCTGGTACAAAGAGAAGAGTGCAGACAGTGAAAATGGTCTTTGGGGAGTTCCGAAAACCAGCCCGATCATGGGTCAGGTGGTTTGGACTCTAGCAATAAAAGCACTTGACTTGTTTCTCAGACAATTACGAGCTCTCACCCTGTGCAGTTCCGTGGGCAGCCTTCCATAGGGTGATCAAGAAAAAGAAAGAATGGCTGTTTTCAAGCTACCTCAGTTAGAAAGCCCCATCTCCTTGTAAACTTCGCAATCCAAATCAAAGGCTATATCTTGCCATGGCCAAGCCAGGGGGCCAGAGAGGCTGTGTGTTTGGTAGTTCTTGCAATCTCCATTGCTTTCTTTGATAACCTGCGTTCTGCACGAGGAAACCAAAAGGCAGACAGCTAAACGGGAGGAGGATGAAAGACCCCTGCGTCGCGGATTCTTCCTGAGTTATGACTCAAGGTTTCTGTGGTGCTGTCAGCTTCCAGCCTAAAATAAGACACCAGCAACCTCTTAATGCTAAGAACAGATCTGAGACATTTATCCTACTTGAGGGCAAAGCATCTCAGTGATTAAGGATTCCTGCGGGGAGCGACGGAGCACAAAGGGGAAAAGGCTCACTTGGGTGCACATGCCTGGGTCTGACATTGGATCTCAGAGCAAGAAGTTTACAGACTTTGAGAGCTGGGTATTCTAGAATCGTTACTGAGATTAGCTCTGAAATAAAAAGAGGCTAGAAGCAGTTAAGGGGAAGGAATCATAGCTTAAAAAGGTTTTACTCAGTATCAAAGAGCTTTGTAATTCTATGACCTACAGCTTCCAGGTGGCTTCTACCGACCAGCCTCTGTGTGTGTGCATTTCTCTCCCTCCCTCCTTCCCCATCCCCCCTTAATCCAGCCAATGGGTTTATTATCCCTGAACATACACATAACAAATGAGGAGACCCTTGCTATTTCCTGTCTTTGGCTTGATGGAAAATAAAATCTTTGTCTCTGGAAAGATAACATGGCTTGGGATTGGCTCCTGCAGATCCTCTGACCCTGATCCTGAAATTATAGTCACGAAGTAGAGGCTTCTTAAAATTTCCACACCGTATTATCAGTATGAAGTTTTTAAAGCATATAGGTATGCATCTAACATATTCTTTCTTCAGGTAATTGCATTGACTAATGGTTTTTATTCCTTAGGAACCCTGCAGACAAAAGATTTTACATATGTGCAGACTTGTTAAACCAGGGTCACGTGCACCAGCATTTTCTGCTCAATGCCAAAGACTCTGTGCACGTAACTGTCTAATGAGTGCACCATACCCCACAGTACACACACTCAGTTATGGGTACCATCAAGTGACTGGCTGCCACATTTCCTTATCGGTTGTACCTGAGAGAAGTTTCATTACTTCAGTCATCTTCTACTTACTTTAAAAAAGTAGGGACGGGCTTCTCTGGTGGCGCGGTGGTTGAGAGTCCACCTGCCGATGCAGGGGACGCGGGTTCGTGCCCCGGTCCGGGAAGATACCACATGCCGCGGAGCGGCTGGGCCCGTGAGTATCACAAAAAAAAAAAAAAAAAAAGAAGTAGGGACTTCCCTGTTGGTCCAGTGCGTAAGACTCTGTGCTCCCAATGCAGGGGGCCGGGGTTCAGCCCTGGTCGAGGAATTATTGGGTTGGCAAAAAAATTCGTTCACGTTTCTCCATTACATCTTATGGAAAAACCCTAAAGAACTTTTTGGCCAACCCAATAGATCCCGCATGTCACAACTAAGAAGGCTACATGCTGCAACTAAAGATCCCGCATGCCACAACTAAGACCCAGTGCAGCCAAAATAAATATAAATTAAAAAAAAAAAGTCAATTAGCCACATTCCTTTTTTTTCCTTTTTTTCTTTTTGCAGTGTAATTTTGTCATCTCTCAGTTAACCTCCTTTTTAACATTTCCCTTAGGGCTTTTGCAAGGCATCTATTAAAGAGAAAAATCGGCGTGGTGGTCGTTGGATTTCCAGCTACTCCCCTTGCAGAAGCCCGGGCTCGGTTCTGTGTTTCAGCAGCACATACGCGGGAGATGTTAGACGCAGTAAGTACTCCACAGCCCAGCAGAAGCGACAGGATGGGGTCCTCGGATTCTGAGCATGTTCTTTTACTGAGCTTGCTTGGGTTTCCCTGGGTTTCTCTTGGATGGTTTAAGAAAACAACACTAATAACACTCACTGCTAAAAAATAAAAATAAAAAATAAGGGTATCCTAACAATGCCCAACAATGTGATCAACTCAGCAGATAGAAAAGGAAATCAGCTCAGTGAAGACTTGAGTCAAGTTGGTGTTTTGGTTTCATAGCAAAGACCCACTGAGTAGCCAGACATCCTGCTCTTTGCTTGTTCTTAAAGGCAGACGCTGATCTCACGTGCTATTTCAGCAGTAACTGCCTGCATCCTGGCACTGCTCACAGCCACCACGTCCATCATAAGAAAAGATGACCCAAATAAGCCACATGTTGGAAAAACAACAACAAAGACAGATCTGTCATATAAGCTCATCCTACATGAGGTGTAAAGGATTTCAAAACCACATTTCATTGTCCTTGGATTTCGATCTCTGTGTGAATGAATAATATCAGAGAACCAAGCCAGGTCAGTCAGTTTAGGGTTGATGAAGCTGTCTTATAAAATCAATGCAGTTTAGCAAACACTATCAGGTGTCTGCTCTATGCAAAACCCTGGGGCAAAAGTCTAAGAGAACATACTATAAATAAGCACTTCACAATAAGATCAGACAGAATAAATTCATCTCGAGAAAGAAATATAGACAACTGCATGAAGGTGGAGTGGGTTATTATGGAGCTATTTGAACAAAACAAGAGACGACAAGGTCAAGGGCAATGGAAACAAAAGAAATGGATCTAGGAATAGACGTTATGCATGCATGAAGCTGCCAAGACTTGGCAAATATTGGATGCAGGGCACGTATGGGGTGAGGGAATCAAGAATAATCTGAGGTCTCTAGCCCTCTAGCAAATAAAGAATGGCAAAACTAAGCACGTATATGAGCTAAGGTATATGGCAAGGAACAGCATAACACCAACAGGACTGGGGGAATAAAACGAGCTCACTTCTAGACATGTTGGGATTACAAATCTATGGGCCAGCTGTGAAAAAGCAAACTATTATATATAGGATGGATAAACATCAAGGTCCTACTGTATAGCACAGGGAACTATATTCAATATCCTGTGACAAACCATAATGGAAAAGAATATGAAAAAGAATATGTGTTTGTGTGTGTGTGTGTGTAACTGAGTCATTTATACTTCGATAAAATTTAAAGAAAATAAAATCCAATTCTGGAGCTTAGGAGAGTATGCAAGGCTGGAGCTGCTGTAATCTGAGGAACTAAGGGATCATTAAAATCAGTGGTAGAAAATATAATTATCCAAATATAAGTGAACGGGCCAAGCGCAGACTCCCCCTACATCCCTGGTTGGATATAGGAATCACAGATGAGGAACTGGGCTTAGATGGAGCTAGATCAATTGGAAAAGTCATAAGCTAGTGTAGTGCTCAACACAGTAAAAAGGAAAAAGCTTCAAGGACGGGGAGGATCAAATGTCCCTGCGATTTTTTTAGATTCTATGTGTAAGCGATATCATATGATATTTGTCTTTCTTGTCTGACTTACTTCACTCAGTATGACAATCTCTAGGTCCATCCATGTCACTGCAGATGGCATTATTTTGTTCTTTTTCATGGCTAAGTAATATTCTATTGATGAACCTATTTACAAAACAGAAATAGAGTCACAGATGTAGAAAACAAAGTTATGGTTACCAAGGGGGAAAGTGAGGGGAGGGATAAATTGGGAGATTGGGATTGACATACACACACTACTATATATAAAATAGATAACTAATAAGAACCTACTGTATAGGACAGGGAACTTTATTCAATACTCTGTAACGACCTATATGAGAATAGAATCTAAAAAAGAGTGGATATATGTACATGTATAACTGATTCACTTTGCTGTACACCTGAAACAAACATAACATTGTAAATCAACTATACTCCGATAAAAATTAATTTTTAAAAGTGTCTCTACAAAACAGCAGAACATCCAAGTGGGGTGAGAGATGAGAAGAAACCATTGGCTTAGCAGTTAGTAGGATCTTGCTGTTGCTCAGAAAAGAGAGTTTTAGGGGAGTGCAGGGAACAGAAATAAGAATACAAAGAATTAAAAAATTGAAGGGATACTTTGAGCTCGAATTACACACAGACACTCACACGGGTCCATATCTTTCTGCATCACCATTATATTCTAGGACTTAAACCAATGTATAGAACATAGTAGGTACACAATAACAATTTATTAGATAACATGTTAATAACTGAGCTAACTCTAGATTTTGAGATGATGGGAGAACTTTGCTGTTTTTGTTCTATATATTGTGCAGATTCTCTAAAATGAGTATATTTTAGAGAATATTAATTTTAACAAATTGTTTCTTCTAAATGTAATGAGTGGGTGGTAAGAAATGGTAGGCTAGTCTTTTGAGAAGTGTGTAAAGGCAAAAAGAATAGGTTTAGAAAAAGCCCTTGAAAGTGAGGGAAGGCTTGAGCATGTTTACACATCAAGGGAAAAGGGAGCGAAGAGAGGAGCACTGTAGGCATGAGGAGAAGAGGATGTGCCCAGAAGCACGCTCCAGAGACGGCAGGAGGGGATGCACAGCTTGGGTCAATTTGCATCTTTTTTCTGATCCAAACGGCATGGAGGCACTCACGAATACCCAGTTCAATAGATATCAGACCTTGTGATTGTTTTCATGAGTTAATTCCTGCGGAATACTTGGTTTGGAAGGAGCGCGGAAACCTCATCTAGACAAATGCCTCTAAACTTTTGAGATCGTCAAATCAATACAAAATTTTGAGCAAGTTTCTTACTCTAAGAGAAGTGAAAAATGACCCCTTGAACAGTCAGGGCATTAAGGTAGCAACTGAACATAAATGACAGTCGCAGAAAATATACAATATTAGAGAAGTCTATTCAGTGACCACGTTTGGAACAAGACAAAAAGGAGGACACTTTACAAACACAAAATGACTTAAAAGGTCCCTCTTCTAACATGAGTGGCAGCTGCTCCGTTACCAAGGACAGCTCTAGCCTTGCTATAATCCTCCCGCCTTCTAGACAAGCCTACGTATAAACAACACTGAGCCGCTCCAGCTTCTCGACAGCATCCAAGCCAGAACTGGCCCCTGCTTCCTTAGAATCATCTCGTGCACAAGTCCAGATGTGATACGTAGCCCTTCCCAACTCCCTGTTACGAAGACGGTCCTCCTGGAGTGCATATTCCCTGCTGCAGCAAGCTGAATAAAGCCGACTTTGTTTGAGTACTGGTGTGTTTCAGGTAGTTGATTAGTGGGCCTCAACATAAATCCATTTAGAAATAATACATGCATTATCAATATATTATGTACATTTTATAACAGACACAAAAAAAGAAGTTAAAAAGGTTGAGATACCACCTCACACCTGTCAGAATGGCTATCATCAAAAAGAACACAAATTACAAATGTTGGCAAGGATGTGGAGAAAAGGGAACCCTCGTACACTGTGGGTGGGAATGTATATTGGTGCAGCCACTGTGGAAAACAGTATGGAGGTTTCTAAAAAAAACAAAAATAGAACTGCCATATGATCCAGCAATTCCATTCCTGGGTATATATATGAAAAAAACAAAAACACTAGTTCAAAAAGATACATGCACCCCAATGTTCATAGCAGTGTTACTTACAATAGCCAAGATATGGAAGCAACTTAAGTGTCCATTAATAGATGAATGGGTAAAGAAGATGTGGTATGTATTTGCAATGGAATATAACTCAACCATAAAAAAGAATGAAATTTTGCCATTTGCAGCAACATGGATTGACTTGTAGGGCATTATGCTAAGTAAAATAAGTCAGACAGAGAAAGACAAGTACTGTATGACATTGCTTATGTGTAGAATATAAAAAATACAACAAACTAGTTAATATAATAAAAAAGAAGCAGACACAGACATAGAGAGCAAACTACTTGTTACCACTGGGGAGAGTGGGAGGGGTAACATAAGGGTTGGACAGCAAGAGGTACAAACTATTGGGTATAAGATAGGCTCAAGGATGTATTGTACACAACACAGGGAATATAGCTGATACATTGTAATAACTGTAAATGGAAAGTAACCTTTAAAATTGTATTAAAATTCTTTTAAAAAATTTTTTTAAAAGGTTGAGATTAAAATGAATCAAAATCCTATGTTTTCCTCCCACATCCTTCATGAATTGTGGTACTTCTCCCCCAGGTGTGTGGGTCCTTCACTTTCAAAGCCACAGAGCTACTCCATCCCCCACCTCCAGGAAAAGCAACAGAAACTACCCCAGATTGATGCCACTTAAAATGTAAAGCCTGATACTTTTTCCTAGGGCTTATATTTGGTATAAAAATTAAGAAAATAAATTGAAGTAAAAAGAAAATTTTAATTACCCATAATCCTACCACCCAGAAATAAACTATTCTTAACATCTTGGTAGGGATCTTAACTAATGTCAGTTTGGAAGATTTCCCAACGGAGAAAATCCATAAGCCCCATGAGTCATTCATTCTGATGGTAACGATTCTCACTTTACCTTTTTCAAAACATTGGACTCTAATATCATTTCCCTTTTCTTTTGACTGGTTGAGAAAAACAGGCCCAAAAGGTTAAAAAGGCATGCCCAATTCAGTAGGATTAGTGATAGACTGGAAGGAAAAACTTACATTTCGTATATTCTGGATCTCAGTTGTTTCATTTGTAAACTTGGGGATACATTTACCTGCCTGGATTGAGAGAATTGAAACAGATGAGTTCTTGGTGTCTTGTGGTTTTAAATTCTATTATTCTATGGAGCATAGACATGAGTATTTAAAAGTTGAGGGTGGGAGGAGGGGGGCAGCAGAAGAATGGGAGAGAGAGGAGGAACCTAATTAGCTCCCATAATGTTCCGTTTTCTTCCTGGCCAGGTTGGTTTGCTGTGTCATGAAGAATTAACACAAATGTAATCTGCAAAGTTTTCTTTTTCTTCCACAAGTTTATATATGTCATTAAACTTTAAAATAAATCCTTCAAGGGTAAGCATGGATCAGATGATTTTATTCCTCTCCTCTCACCCCCAAAATAAACTAAAGATTTGTAATGTGGAGTTAGACTATTAAAGAATATGAAAATAAAATGTATTAGCCTCTAACATTCCTCTAGAGCTGACTTATGAACCACAGCTTAATGATTTGGATCTTTCTCCTTTTCTTTAAAATCGAATAAGCTGGCAAAAGAAGAGTGTGGTTCTCTGTGAGCCCCCCAGAGAGCAAGGCCACTTGGGGATTTAAAGAGAACTGATGGAAGGAATCTCTTTGCAGGTTTTGGAAGCCCTGGATGAGATGGGTGACCTCCTGCATGTGAAATATTCCCGGAACAGGAAGTCAGCACGCCCTGAACTCTACGACGAGACGAGCTTTGAACTTGAGGATTGAGTTTCCTGGACCTGAATGGAGCCTAAAGACTTTGCCAGAAAGACCTCCCTCCTTGCCTCCAAAGAAATATGAATAGATTTCTTCTCCTTTCTAAGGACAGTATTGGTTTCCAAACCAATTTCATTGAGCCAAGGGAGACACGATTGTTGTGCTTTTAATGTCTCTGCAGAGACAAAACTATGGTTCCAGAGTTTAGTTTTCTCTTCCCCTAAGTATCCTGCTGCAAATACACACACACACTTCTTAGAATAGTTTTAACAGCACAGAGCCTGTATTTTAGTTGCTATTTGGTCCAGACCTCTTTGGTCCAGACCCTTGCAGGAGTTCCAACCAAATAAGAGGGTTTTGATTTTTTAGTTCAGCAGATCTTATTATGTGTTTGCTAATTTCATCTGCAGATGAGGGCAAGGGTGATGGGCAGTAGGTGGACTCCTTGTTACCCATGAAACACCAGCTAGAACTCATCCGTATCACGGGGAGTTCCAGGCAGGAGGGTAAAGAAATGTTGCCTCTACCATTTGCCACATTTGGACTTTTTCCAAGGACAAGTGTCAAAAGCCATAGTTAATGTTTCAAGGGAGAGTGCAGGCCTGGCCAGCGGCGACCAAACATCTTTAAAGGAAATTTTCTTTTTCCGCTTGCTGGTCTCCTACAGTTTTACAGCTGAGTTTTGAGGTTTGGAAAACTCAAGACTTTTGTTTCATCAGGAAGAGGGCAGAAAGCAAGCAAGCCAATGATAGGCCTAGACTAAAACTGTAAGGTTATAACAACTTGAATGTTGTTGGTGCCATGCAGACTGAATGTTTAGCATCGCTTTTACTACTTTAATGACTGAGTGGTCATTTTCCTATTAAATTTGGAGTACATGGGGGAAATTCAAGTTCCTTTAGAGTTGCCTCTCAAGACTACACTTGAAGAACATATTGATTCAAAAATGACATTTAAAAGTAAATGCTATTCCACTTTTCAATTCTGACCCCCTTCCCCATTCAGGCTTATTAAATACTACTATCCTCTGGCATAAGCACTCCAATTTGGTGCTAAGTGGACTTGCACACTATTGGGCAACTAACTGGAATTTATTTGAGTTGTCTCTGTCTCTCTTTATCTCTCTGTCTGTCTCTGTATGTCTGCCTGTCTGTCTCTCTCTCTCCTAACATGAACACAAATTTCTCTGCAAAAGTAACACTTTGCTAATTGGATCTAGTTGGTATGGAAGAAGCCAGGGGAAAACCTTATCTTTATCAAGCTTCCAGATGGTGCCCAGATTGGGAAACACTAAAAAGCAGTGGTGACCTTTTAGCAAAGCTTCTGTAATAGTTCGAATGAGTTACAGAACATTCCACTCCATCAAATGACACTATAAACAAATCACTTCAAGAGAGGTTTGACTTTGCATGACACAGATGGACCAAGGCTTTCATGCTGTGAGCTGGGATAGAAACTCCACCCACAGCTCCCGTGTTGGATGGAGAAGCATGGAGATTGGTTCAAGATGGTGGAGTAGAAGGAGGTGCACTCACTCCCTCTTGTGAGAGCACTGGAATCACAACTAACTGCTGAACAATCATCAACAGGAAGACACTGGAACTCACCAAAAAAGATACCTCACATTCAAAGACAAAGGAGAAGGTGCAATGAGATGGTAGGAGGGGAGCAATCACAATAAAATCAAATCCCGTAACTGCTGGGTGGGTAACTCACAAACTGGAGAACAATTATACCACAAAAGTCCACCACTGGAGTGAAGGTTCTGAGCCCCATGTCAGGCTTCCCAACCTGGGGATCCGGCAACAGGAGGAGGAATTCCCAGAGAATCAGACTTTGAAGGCTAGCAGTATTTGATTGCAGGACTTTGACAGGACTGGAGGAAACAGAGACTCCACTCTTGGAGGGCACACACAAAGTAGTGTGCGTAATGGGACCCAGGAGAAGGAGCAGTGACCCCAGGGGAGCCTGAATCAGACTTATCTGCTAGTGCTAGAGGGTCTCCTGCAGAGGTGGGGGGTGGCTGTGGCTCACCGTGGGGACAAGGACAATGGCAGCAAAAGTTCTGGGAAGTACTCCTTGGCGTGAGCCCTCCCAGAGTCCACCATTAGCCCCAACAAAGAGCCCAGGTAGGCTTCAGTGTTGGGTTGCCTCAGGCCAAACAACCAAAACCCAGCCCCACCCATCAGCAGTTGCCTCAGGCCAAACAACCAAAACCCAGCCTCACCCATCAGCAGTCAAGAGGATTAAAGTTTTACTGAGCTCCGCCCACCAGAGCAACAGTCAGCTCTACCCACCACCAGTCCCTCCCATCAGAAAACTTGCAGAACCCTCTTAGATAGCCTCATCCACCAGAGGGCAGACAGCAGAAGCAAGAAGAACTACAATTGTGCAGGCTGTGGAACGAAAACCACATTCACAGAAAGATAGACAAAATGAAAAGGCAGAGGACTATGTACCACATGAAGGAACAAGATAAAACCCCAGAAAAACAACTAAATGAAGTGGACATAGGCACCCTTCCAGAAAAAGAATTTAGAATAATGATAGTGAAGATGATCCAGAACCTCAGAAAGAGAATGGAGGCAAAGATCAAGATAAAGGAAGAAATGTTTAACAAAGACCTAGAAGAATGAAAGAAAAAACACCTAGAAGAATTAAAGAACAAACAAAAAGAAATGAACAATACAATAATTGAAATGAAAAATACACTAGAAGGAATCAATAGCAGAATAACTGAGGCAGAAGAACAGATAAGTGACCTGGAAGACAGAATGGTGGAATTTACTGCCACAGAACAGAATAAAGAAAAAAGAATGAAAAGAAATGAAGACCGCCTAAGAGACCTCTGGGACAACATTAGACACACCAACATTTGCATTATAGAGGTTCCAGAAGGAGAAGAGAGAGAGAAAGAAACCGAGAAAATATTTGAAGAGATTATAGTCAAAAACTTCCCTAACGTGGGAAAGGAAATAGCCACACAAGTCAAGGAAGCACAGAGTCCCAGGCAGGATAAACCCAAGGAGAAATATGCTGAGACACATAGTAATCAATTTGACAAAAAATAAAGACAAAGAAAAATTATTAAAAGGAACAAGGGGAAAATGTCAAGTAACATACAAGGGAACTCCCATAAGGTTAACAGCAGAAACTCTACAAGCCAGAAGGGAGTGGCACAATATATTTAAAGAGATAAAAGGGAAGAAACTACAACCAAGATTACTCTACCCAGCAAGGATCTCATTCAGATTCAATGGAGAAATCAAAAGCTTTACAGACAAGCCAAAGCTTAGAGAATTCACCACCACCAAACCAGCTCTACAACAAATGTTAAAGGAACTTCTCTAAGTGGAAAACACAAGAGAAGAAAAGGACCTACAAAAACATATACAAAACAGTTAAGAAAATGGTAATAGGAACATACATATCAATAATTACCTTAAATGTGAATGGATTAAATGCTCCAACCAAAAGACATAGACTCACTGCATGGATACAAAAACAAGACCCATATATATGCTGTCTACAAGAGACCCACTTCAGACCTACGGACACATACAGACTGAAAGTGAGGGGATGGAAAAAGATATTCCATGCAAATGGAAATCAAAAGAAAGCTGGAGGAGCAATACTCATATCTGATAAAATAAACTTTAAAATAAAGAATGTTCCAAGAGACAAGGAAGGACACTACACAGTGATCAAGGGATCAATCCAAGAAGACAATAAAACAATTATAAATATGTATGCACCCAACATAGGAGTACCTCAATACATAAGGCAACTGTTAACAGCTATAAAAGAGGAAATCAACAGTAACACAATCATAGTGGGGGACTTCAACACCTTACTTACACCAATGGACAGATCATCCAGACAGAAAATTAATAAGGAAACTCAAGCTTTAAATGACACAACAGGCAAGATAGACTTAATTGATATTTATAGGACATTCCATCTGAAAACAGCAGATTACACTTTCTACTCAAGTGCACACGGATAGATCACATCATGGGTCACAAATCAAGCCTCAGTAAATTTAAGAAAATTGAAATCATATCAAGCATCCTTTCCAATCAAAATGATATGAGATTAGAAGTCAATCACAGGGGAAGAAAACATAAAAAGCAAAGACACATGAAGGCTAAACAGTATGTTACTAAATAACCAAGAGAAATCAAAGAGGAACTAAAAAAATACCTAGAGACAAGTGACAATGAAATCACGATGATCCAAAATCTATGGGATGCAGCAAGAGCAGTTCTAAGAGGGAAGTTTATAGCAATACAATCCTACCTCAAGAAATAAGAAAAATCTCAAATAAACAATCAAACCTTACACCTACAGGAACTAGAGAAAGAAGAACAAACAAAACCCAAAGTTAGTAGAAGGAAAGAAATCATAAAGATCAGAGCAGAAATAAATGAAATAGAAACAAAGAAAACACTTGCAAAGATCAATCAAACTAAAAGCTGGTTCTTTGAGAAGATAAACAAAATTGATAAACCTTTAGCCAGACTCATCAAGGAAAAGAGGGAGAGGACTCAAATCAATAAAATTACAAATGAAAAAGGAGAAGTTACAACAGACACCGCAGAAATACAAAGCATCCTAAGAGACTACTACAAGCAATTCTATGCCAATAAAATGGACAGCCTGGAAGAACTGAACAATTCTTATAAAGGTTTAACCTTCCAAGACTGAACCAGGAAGAAATAGAAAATATGAACAGACCAATCACAAGTAATAAAATTGAAACTGTGATTTAAAATCTTCCAACAAACAAAAGCCCAGGACCAGATCACTTCACAGGTGAATTCTATCAAACATATAGAGATGAGCTAACACCCATCCTTCTCAAACTCTTCCAAAAAATTACAGAGGAAGGAACACTCCCAAACTCATTCTATTAGGCCACCATCACCCTGATACCAAAACCAGACAAAGATACTACAGAAAAAGAAAATTACAGACCAATATCACTGATGAATATAGATGCAAAAATCCTCAAAAAATACTAGCAAACAGAAGCCAACAACACATTAAAAGGATCATGCACCATGATCAAGTGGGATATATCCCAGGGATGCAAAGATTCTTTAAAAATATGCACATCACTCAATGTGATACACCATATTAAAAAATTGAAGAATAAAAACCATATGATCATCTCAATAGATGCACAGAAAGCTTTTGTCAAAATTCAACACCCATTTATGATAAAACCTCTCCAGAAAGTGGGCATTGAGGGAACCTACCTCAACATAATAAAGGCCATATATGACAAACCCACAGCAAACATTCTCAAATGTGAAAAAGTGAAAGCATTTCCTTTAAGATCAGAAACAAGACAAATGTCCACCCTCACCACTATTATTCAACATAGTTTTGGAAGTCTTAGCCACAGCAATCAGAGAGGAAAAAGAAATAAAAGGAATACAAACTGGAAAAGAAGAAGTAAAACTATCACTGTTTGCAGATGACATGATACTATACATTGATAATCCTAAAGATGCCACCAGAAAACTACTAGAGATAATGAATGAATTTGGTAAAGTTGCAGATACAAAATTAATGCACAGAAATCTCTTGCATTCCTATAATGCAAGATCAACGAAAGATTAGAAAGAGAAATTAAGGAAACAATCCCCAATACCTAGGAATAAACCTACCTGAGGAGGTAAAAGACCTGTACTCAGAACTATAAAACACTGATGAAAGAAATCAAAGATGACACAAACAGATGGAGAGATATACCATGTTCTTGGATTGGAAGAATCAATAGTGTGATAATGACTATACTACCCAAAGCAATGTACAGATTCAAGGCAATCCCTATAAAATTACCAACGGCATTTTTTACAGAACTAGAACAAAATAATCTTAAAATTTGCATGTAGAGACAAAAGACCCCGAATAGCCAAAGTGACCCTGAGGGAAAAAAAATGGAGTTGGAGGAATCAGCCTCCCTGACTTCAGACTACACTACAAAGCTACAGTAATCAAGACAATATGGTACTGGCACAAA